GAAACACTTACAGTTTTAGCACAAATTATAATATTGGTAGTTTTTTTTTTTTTTTTTTTTAATAGTAAGGTTTAATTACTAGGACATTTTTGGGGAAAAGAAGAATTTTAGTACATTTCATCTTGCATTTATTGAAAATTGTTTAAATTGTTTTTGGGAAGCAACATCTGCACGTACAGTAAATTCATAATAGCTACAAAAATATCTATTGGTATCAGTGAACACTGGTACATATTGTAATAGAAAAAAAAAAAACAGAAATATAGTACTTGTCGATAAATGAAGTTCCATACCATACATGCACAAAAGCAAATTCCAAGACCTGTATCTCAACAAAAACACACAAACCAAGCAGCAGTATACTGCTCAAAACAAATATTTCTGTAAAATTTGATATTTCAACAAAACAAGCAGCAAAATATTGTGCAGTTTCATAAATTTCTTTTTCCTGGGAGGAATTTTTCAGGGATATTTTTATTGATATCATGTTTGTTCACTTCCAGGAGTCATTATTTTTTAGCAATTTTCTTAAATTGTTTTTAGATAAAAATTCTAAAATGTTTGGGATTAAACTTGATTTTTTCCAATTGTTTTAAATGCAAGAAATGTTCCCAACTACAGAAACTACCAGTAGCTCTGTAAGTGGTGAATTCTTTTGCTGCAAAGAATGGTGCAATCAAAGAAATGATCTTAAAGGAATTGCGACATATTCTTGGAGAAATTCATCTGTAAAATTTGGTTAACTGAATTCTAGATAATTTGCCTTCATTTTTTTTAGATGAGTAATTGTCAATATATTTTAATTATTTTGAACTATTGTTTCATCTTGATTAATATTGGTGTTAACCAAATGTTAAAACCACCTGACATTGAATATAAAGGCCCAAAGTATACACGACTTTGGAACTGTGCCATAGTGGGTATATTGGGGGCACTGGGAGTTTTTATTTCATGGTGGGGGAAATGGGCATCCCTTTTTTTCTTATTTTTTTTTCTCTCTCCAAATGTTCAAAAATTAATATCGGCTAGAAAAGGAAATTTCTGAAAAAGGTATCAAAAGCTATGGGAAGCTACCAAACTTTTCTTCATTGCTTTTCCAACTTCCTATATGGCTGAATGTGGTTTCAACAGTTACACAGCTTAAGAAATAAACTGCCTGCAAATTGCAAAATGAGGAGATCTATGATTACTTCTAAGCTTTATGGAACCTAGAGTAAGAGCCTAGCCAGTAAGCACCAAATTCAACAATTGCATTGGAAACATTGAGATAACCTATCAAATAAAATTTGTTTGTTTGTTTTTTTTGTTTTGTTTTGTTTCTTCTTTTTTTTGCATTTATAACAAATGAAAACAATATTAAAATTATTTTTGCACTAATGAATTCAGTATAATATTCAAAATTTAGTTTAACAGGGGTGGGGTTGTAGACAAAAAAGTTTATGCCCAAAAGTAGTGCTGGTTGAAAAAAGGCTGGGAAACACTGTTCTAAAGAGTTGATATGCCTTTAGAAAATCCACTTGAACTCTGGATGGGTAGGAATGACCTATAACTGGCATCACAGGAACACAACACAATACAATACTCAAAAGATATCCCATATCAGCCAAACATTGTACACCTGACTATAACATTTATAACAAGATGAAAATAAGTTTGAAATAAAGTATATTAACAATTTTAGATATTTCTGAATCTATTCACAATCCTCTTGAGTTTGTTAGCTTTTTTAATCTACCATTCTTAATTTAAAAGTTAAGTCACTCATCACTCTTCTTAGAAATCTGCCTACCCAAGTAGACAAAATGGAAGATTTCTATATTTCCGACATTTTTAATTCAAGTGAAGCTCAGGTTTGTCAGGACTATCACTATGATCACTGTCCTTAACCTGACTTCTCCATTCTGGTAACCAGCCCTTTTCATACTGACATCCAGTGGAAGATGCACAAATGTTGTGTATCCAGAAGTCCTGTCAATCCAAGGAATTGCATCATTGGTTTTGTTTTGGGCAGAATATGTTTTTATTACTAACAGCTACTTTTTCATGTGTAAATATACAAATTTCTTTTTACTAGTTATGGTGCCTTAATATATTTTTATATTGCAATTGCATGGTGTGGTTACTAAACCAGTGATTGATGCAAAAGTCACAGGATGGCTCAAAAAAGGCAAAAAAAATAGTGCAAATATATTTACATCACAATTTTGAAATACTAGAATTTTTTTGCAACACACTGACATGTCGAAATCCACACAAAAAATGTTCAAACTTGAAAGATATGCAAAAAACAATATTGCATTTTTATTAAATAAGTATTTATTTTAATCATTAAATTGTTTTTAAAATAGTGCAAGTATTTTGTATGTTGCATAATAAAATTTTTAATTTAAAAAAAAAAAAGGGGGGGGATGAAAATTTATTGTACTAAGCTACACACCCCGTACTTTGTAACCACTTAGTTTGCACTTCTCCCCAAAATCTGGGTTTGATCGGACAATGCATGGCTATTTAAGATGGCGTGATGGACAGATGGACTAATGGAAGTCACAGAATTTTATGTATAGAAGATAGATTCATGTTTTCTTGTGCATAATATGACCCCCCCATGTTTATGAAGCTAAAAATTATAAATTACATACTTGTGTATAATACAACCCCATAGTACAGCCACTCCTCTGTAAATTTTTTTTTTTTTTATTTGTACCATATTATCCATTAAAACCTCAATGTCATAGTTATATTTTGCTAAAATATTTAATTTTTCACAATATTAAAGAATAGAAATGAATTGGATGTTTAATTCAGGGAAAGGTGCTAACTGGACATAGACAGTAATACATTTTATGGTGTTAATTAATCTATCATACTTTTCTGTTTGATATCATTGAAACACTTGAATGATCACGAAAGTTAAGCAACATCAATCCAGGTATTCCCAAGCATTCACCCTGTATAGGTGACTGCTTGGGAATACCAGGTGCTAATAAATGTGAATGCTCAGGTGGTGTAATGGGTAAGGGATTAGAATTGGAAATCTGAGAGCTGAGTTCCAATTCCAGTTCAGTTATATATTCACTTACATGCAAATACCCTTGGGAAAGGTGTGAATCCACCTTTATTGTATCAATAAATCATTATTATCCCCCCCAAATATCTTACAATTTCAAAATATATTCTGGCTTAATTAACGTGCAAAAAGTTTGTCATAAAACAAATCAATCAGAATCTGTTTGATATGACTTCATTTTTATATATTAATAAACTATGAAAGTAAAAAATATTGTAATTCATTAAGAATGAAGAGAAACAAATATAGCTGACATATCAAATACCTACTGTAAACAATTGTTATCAACACCTGTCTACTTTGTTTTATTATCTATTGTGCTGAGTCTATTTGCAATATTGTAGTTTCAAATTTAGTTTTTTGGGAGTTTTTTTTAAACTGAATACAAATTTCTGAAAACTTTTACTTGTGTATAATATGATCCACTATTTTGCCTTTAATTTATATTCAAAATTTCTCATATTATACAAAATGACAAGAACAGGAAAATTATGGCAAATAATAAAGTATGGATAAATTAATAAAATCTTGTTGATTCCAGTTTGTTCATGTTCAATATTTTTACACCAAGTTGGCTAGAGCCTGAAGTCATCATAGTATTGTTTCTGGCATTGTTGTTTTGTTTGATTCCTGTACTGTGATGTATTTACATTAATTTGTCTATCTTCATTTTCTTCAATTAATATGAAAAAATATTAATGTTTCTTGGTTATTAAAGTAAAATTTATTTGATAAAAATGGTTATATATTTTTTTTAATTTTTTTTTTTTAATGATGCATAGACAATACATAATTTTTTTTTTTTTATTAATTCTATATTTATTCTAAAAGCAACTAATTTCTTAAAATAAAAAATATTCTTGCTTTTCACTGTAGTTGATAGTTGCAATGAGCCCCATCCAGCACAGGTCAAGTTCTATCAATCCTTGTCTGTGTGGCTCACCTTTTATTCAGGTTTTTGGCCACACATTCATATAGTTTTAAAACCACTAGAACCATGTATATGGTTTACCTAAATTGCAAATAGCAGCTTCAGCTGAGAAGTCAAGACATTGTGGCGTTTTAGCCACAAGTAGGCTAGAATCCCTTGGTCTTGTTTCACCACATTCACCAATAGACATTTAATAAAGGGGGCGCACAAAAAAAAAATTTAAAGACATTGTTTTAAATTGAAGGTTGGATTTAATTATTTCAAATATTTATCTTGTATGAAAAAAGATCAGAATCAAATTGTAAGAACTAATTTTGCTTTAATAAATGACACAGGAAAATATGCTGATTTTTGGTTAAAAAAAAACAAAAAAACCTTTTAATGAACAATATTTGTGTTTTGTTTTCTTATAAACTAAATTGAAATGTTCAATTAACCCCTGTAAACCTCCATTCATTGCCCTCCTGCTCAGTAATATAAAGATATATGACTGAGTGATGTAATAACTGCAGGACATGAAGACTGCAATTTAAAGATTGACTTGGTCAAAATAAATATTAAACATTTTAATATATTTTTATGCTACTAACAACTATAAAGGATAAAGTTAAAAAAAAAAAAAAGAAAGCATTTTGATTCTTTGACAATCAAAGTTGTTTTTCAGGCTGGTTCCAGGACAAGGATGAAAAAGGTTAGTCTAGAGCTGTGTGTTTGACCTACATGAGACCATTCTTGTGATTTTAATAGCTATGCATTGACTAAGTGGTTGTATGATAGCACAATAGCTCAAAATGGTCAATGCTAGAAACGTGAGATTCGGGATGTTAAAATACAATAGTAGAAATGCATATTAAGTTTTTCTGAAATTGATAAGTTAATAGTTAATTTTGTGATGTGGGATCTTTTTTTTAACTTTAAAATATCTGCTTTATTGCTATTACTTGCAGCATAATTTGTCTGATTTGTACATGAATAAAATAAAGAAATTTCTTGGCTTCACAGACAACACACACAGAAGAATATAAATTGGAACCTTTTAGTGAGCTCCGTATTGAAGTGGACAGTGGAGCTGAATTAGAAGTGGAGGTAAGTGTTATCTCTCTCTCTCTCTCATATATATTTTTTTAAAGTGAGATAATATACTTCTTTAAGGCCACTCAAAACTGATAAGATAACTAAGTCTGCTACAACACCTATACTTTGTATAGATTGCTGTTAGAAACAAAACCTGCTTATAAAAGGTTTTTCTGTTCATGGAATTGGGCTAATCTAATTTTGCTTTGGTATGAGATGCTAAAACATTCTGAGGCTGTTTAAAAAGCCCTCCCTCCAAAAATTTGATATTTGGTCATGTTTTCTAAAGTAGAATGGAACTTTTCATCATCCCCTCAGATAAAAGTAAATTTTGATCATGAAATAACTTTTTAACCAATTTCCAGATCAAAATTTTGAATAAATAATGCTAAAAGGATCATATGCAGGTAAAAGGAATACCTTTTTCAGTTAATTGAAAGCTGTACAGTTTTTTTTGTTTTTTTTTGTTTTTTTTATCTGTAATTTGTAGCTCTCTAGACCAGTTGAAGAAAGATAAGGCTTAAAGTTAAAATATATATATTGGTCATTATTGATATATCAAACATCTATAGTGATAATAGTTTTTATATATTAACACTAAACTTGAAAGTTTGAAAGAAAAATACTTTGCTCCGAGTGTATTGCCATGAACTTGATATTGTTGAAAAGTAGAATGATCGTTCTGGTTGTATAAGTTTAATGAACCTTTATCAGTAGTTTGGAATTTATGATTTAATTTGCTTTGATTGCTTTCATAAGAATAAATTAAAAATGCTTACTGTACATTTATGGTGTCCACTTAAGCTGATTGTTATTATGTAGCTGTTATCTCAGGCTGTTGGTATGAACAAAAATGAATGAAAATAAGATCAGTGTATTTTAACATATAAATAAACACCCTTTATTAATTCACTGTCTGAGAACAGCATGGATTGAAACAATGAATTCCACATGCGTATCAGCTTGTCTGTCCATCTCTGAAGTGGCATGCTCAACTTCACAGACAAGGGAAGAAACTCAATTGTATTTTGAGTTAACATCCTTTATAGGGGAAGGAAATTAGCTTCCCCTAACTATAGTTAATGAGGGGATAGTGGAGTTCACAATGACTATGATTCTGACTGGCTGATCTGATAGATGGTTGGATCTTAACAAAATAAGTAGAAAGTAACAAAACTGATCACTATAACTTTTTAAATTTTGGAATTGGTTACTGTTACATATGTTACCTCTGACTTCTTCCACTGCTGTTGTCATCTTAATTTCCTACAATTCTATAACAGTTAAAAGTACATAAAATATATTAGATGATTATAAATATTTCTTTAATTTATATTATTATATATTTATTAATAATTGTGATGAATCATTTATCAATGTACTCCTCCTATTGTTTACAACCTCTTGCTCACAATCCATTAACTGCTCAATGCATTGATAGAGCTCACTAGGTTTTAACTTGAAAAATTCATCATTTTAAGCCTCACATTATTGTTGAATGAGACACTCCACAAATTGTTAAAAAGTGACTGAAAAAGTGGTAGTCTGAAGTCACTAATCAGGAGAATATGGTGCATATGGCAGAACTTCACAGCTGAGCTTTTTAATTGCATGTTTGGTCATGTTAGTGACATGGAGGCAAGCATTGTCATGTTGAATAATCACACTGTATTGCGGATCAGGTCTCCTAAACTGAAATGCCTCTTGGAGCCTGTTCATTTGTTCAACATACAGTTTAGCATTGACTGATTGTTTTGGAGAATTTCATCTCCATACACAGCACAAATGTCTCTAGCATCTTTGACAGCTTAGTGACCTTGATTAAAAGCAAAGATGATGTCGAACATGCTCATTCTTGTCTACTTGGCATTCCATCTCAGAGATGTCTAATCTGAATTAAAACTGAAATAACATTAGATAAGTTTCACAGGATGACTTTACTTACTAAGAAGCAAAAAATGTGAAAGATTATTTTTTGAGATCATTTGCAGAACATAAAAAAAGTAAATGAATATATGTAACAACTTAATAGATTTAACATTGTGACAGTCAGTATCAAGAAGTAAAAGCAGTCAATCATTCATTGTATGAAGTATCACAACTTAGAGTATAACTAACAAATCTTAATAAAAAACGAGATATATTTAAACAAAAATTTTGTACCACAGAATTTAAATATAGCTTTGAAAATGATGAAACATATTCTTTTAAAAGGGATCTTTTTCCTCCAGCACTTCTTCAGAAAGATTTGTTGGGATAACAATTAAAACACTGAAAAAGATTAATTAACTAATTTTAATTTTTTTTTTTTATAGTATTAAATATTAGTTCTGTCTTCTTAATTACCCCCATGTCTACCTTTTCAGTTTTACCATTTTAATTATTATTGTCATTCCAACAAATCTTTCTAAAAAAACGTTGAACGAAAATATGTTCTGTCATTTTCAAACACCCATATATATATATATATATATATATATATATATATATATATATATATATATATATATGTGTGTGTGTGTGTGTGTATTTGGGCAACAGTCCTCTTTTATAAAAGCTTCATTAAAGATGACTCACAAAGTACTACTGTGTTTAAGCTTTTTATTTAATTTTTCTTGTGTTCATAGTTTTTTTTTTTTTTTTTTTTCTGGACATAATGCTTGTTACATCTGAGTGCTTTTGGCTATTCTTTAGATCATTATCAACGATGTTTTTTTTTTTTTTTTTAATTCTAACTGAATGTGTAGATTATTATATATGTATCTAGATCTATTTATTTTCCAAACATGGCGAGTACATTGTTACCATGTTCATAGTTGATGTTATTGAGTGTTTTTATATATATATATATATATATATATATACACACACACACACAACAGAGTAGAGGAAACAAATATTCGTACACATACAAATTTTTTATTTATTGTATTTCCAACTAATGAATAAACATGTAATTAACTGTACACAGATGCATAACTAAATATGCATAGAAAACAAAAAATTTTGATATAATAGAAATAAATCCCATTTATCTATTTTAATGGATGAAAAAATACAATACAAATTTCAGATTTTAAAACTTTTAAATTGATTTAATACTCTATATTATTCAAGTGGAATATTCTAGAATGTTCCAATGATATTATCAGTTATTTTTAGCCTGAAAAATACAAACATAACATTCTGTAATTTATATTCATGCAAGAAGGTTTTCATAACAACAAGAGGTAAAGAATTGGCAAATTTGCAAAAAGAACTGATTGTTAAGTTCTTGAAAGAAGGTAAAAGTTACCAGAAAATATTAGACAACCTCAATATATTGCATTTACTACCATTAGTTTATTCATTGCAATGTATAAAATATATGTGTACACACAGAGTAGTCCACCGCTATAGCGCAGACCTTGGGGTCCACAGTGGCTGACCCCTACTGCAATTCACTTGCAGTAGGGGTGGGGGTGGCCAAAAAATATAAAGTTGAACACCTACCTGATTTTTGGGCCCTACTTTGTGATATATACCATAGATAATGGCTCTAATTTATACCAATAATTCCGTAAGAAATTTTAGATAATTTGCTTTTTAAGCCCCAAGCTAAGTATCGAATAAAAATTTCCCAAACAGTTTTTCTTATTCTAAATTTACATGCCTAATTCAAAAATAACAAAGAAATTTTATAAAGTCTACTGTTTTGTAGTTATCGACAATAAAAGTTCGGACTCATTCATGTGGCCGTTGGCTACAGCGTGGCATCCATTATTTGCATCAGTGTGTAAGCAATAATCAAGACAAGTGAATGTCTACTCCACAGCGAATGTACAGTCTGTGAAATCTTGCAGTTTGGTCCCTTCTTCACCCAACCCCTGAGGGTGGATTCAGGTACTCCTGTATCGCTGCTGATCTTTGCCTTTATTTCACTGTTCTTTATCCTATCTATCAAATGCAGTTTTTCCTTTACTGTGTATACTTTACATTTAGACATTTTGTATTACTACTAGGAGGTCACAATTTCCTGGGAATTCCCAATTGCAATCCCTAATTACTACACACTATTTATATTTGTTTATTTATGAGAAATTCTTAATGTCTACTGTTGGACAGTCAAATTGAACATGATCAACCAGAGAAAAGTACTCCTATTTATACCCTATCTGTGGTATCTGATTGCAGTGATTGAATTCCTGTTAATTAGTCCAATATTATAGGAACTCTTTGATCATGTGTGAAATAGAAATATAAAGTAATCATGTGTAATTAATAGAATTGGATTATTAATGGCCGAGAATTAAAATTTTGCAATCTTCATAATGTTTGATCATCATGTGTGAAAAATGTGAAAAATAATTATTAAAACAGATTAGTACCCATCTAGTGATTACTGTTTGTTCTGTCTATTGTGAAGATGGCCCAGAAATTGGTAAAATAGGGTGGAATTTCTAAAAAAAAAAAAAAAAAAGTGAGCATTATTGCGGGTACAAGAGCAAAATCTTGGGGTTCATCACCCACCTGCGGTACACCGTTTTGCCTAATAGTGGTTGACTACTAATATATATATATATATATATATGTGTGTGTGGAACATAATACATATACAAAAGTTAAAACCATCAATTTGTACAAAGAATTGTACCGACCAAATGTATAAATAATCTTTAAGCATAATGACTGACAATGTATATTCAACATTCAGTCACATGCACTGATGTGTCAAAGGTCATAGCAGCATATAAAGGGAATGGGAGGTGGTGCCACTGTACCTTGACACATGAAAATACCCTGATCTATATCAATTGCTCTCTGACAGATCATCTGCTTTTCATAGCAAGGCAACTTGTTTTGTTGGAATTCAAACAGTATAATATTAGGTGTCAGGCAAATAGGATTCTTCATCAATATATAGTGAGAGTTCCACCCAGCATTTGGGTGGTTTTTGGAGTTTATAATAGGACTCTTGCTCTGGTGCCTGGATCTCCACTGTGTTTTGTTTTAGTATAATCAACATGACATGG